TGCATGTATTTGACATGACCGGGAAACATTTGTCTTGCTAAATGATTGACTTGACTGCTATCACGCGGGCTTTTGAACACCACTAAGTAATGAGAATTCAAACTCATATCTCTCAGTTCTTTTCCACGATGAAACATGTTTTGGAGAATAAAGATCACGCTGAGATTGCGATGGTGACAGCCCTTGGTAAACAAATTAGCCATTCGCTGAAGTCATCAATGACAACTAAATTCCGAATGGAGGGATTAATTAGGGTTTCAAGATCATCAGGCACTCCTTCAACAAACATAATGTTCGGAATAGTTTTAAGCATCTCATCGTAGGCCGGTTGATACATGCCATAACACCAGATGATTTTTTCCGCGACACCATCAATCATGTCTTCTCCTGCTTCTAGTAAACGTTTTACAAACTGACTTTTCCCACAACGTGTTGGGCCGGCCACAAGCGCGGGGAAAGGATGTTTCCATCTCGGGTCCATGATCACAACTGATTAACTTAATTGTGCGTACTCTCATTTATAGAAAAATTGTTTTGGGTTCAGCCTCCTTGTCATACACACGAATCGCATTGATATTTTATAATTTTGCAAATTGAAGCCAATATTTTCGTTCTATCTCCGATAACTCGTGGACTTGAGTTAAATGATTTGCTAATCGAACTAAAAATTTAGAATGACATCCCGGTATGGGGCAGTGTTTACATTTTAGTTTCTTCATGCTGACAGGACGAATGTTAGATACGAACTGAGTAAAACTATTTGCGACACGAAATTTATTGTTGATTTTCAAGGGCAGATCGGGCAGAAAGGGCAGAAAGGGCACCTTTTTAGCCCTGCGTTTTTCCCCCTGGGCGCGCGTGGAGATCTCGCGTGTAAGTCGTGCGCGACGAGTCAGGAAACAAGCCACGATTAAATTCAACCAATGATTTATTTACAAACTATGAACAAATGACATTTTTTAGACATTTAGGAAACTCTTTTACATATAATGCTATTTACAAACTTGAGAAAACGAAAATTATTTACAAAATCAATTTTTACAAACTTGAAAACTTAAATGTGGAGTGGAGTGGTGCTGACTCCAGCAGCCAAAACTTTGCGTTTCGGGTAAAAATAAGAGAACGCGTCTCTGACTTGGGTGTAGGTATACATAGTATTATTTACAACACGAAAACCGCGATTGACACCAGCGCTATTTTGTTTGGTGAGCAGAACATTTAAATACTTGTCCTTGTCAATGTCGTTACATTTTTTATTAACACCCTTACAACTGAACTTATCTTTCGCCCCAAAACAATAATAGGTCTTGCTACACAACCCCACAATCCCTTGACCCTCCCACTCAACTTTAAAAAGACCTGGGGTTCGATATCTTATCATAAGCCTTGTGTTCCCTGGTGTCGGTTCTTGGGAACCAGTTACACTTATCCTGCTCAAACTCCTCTCTTAATTCGGGTTTTACCAAAGACTCAACACTATCCCCAGAAATGGCAATCTACGCGCTGTCTGTATCCATCTCACACATTTGGAAATCGCTGCGATCGAGATACTTGTCAAGAAAATCATAATAAAATTGCAGCATTCTTAACTTAGCATATTGATACACGAAAAAACCGATTTGGCTTGGAAGATCAGTTTAACTTGATGGTTTTTTTACAAGACTCTACTTCATAAGTATCTTCGGTGATATTATCCAGCTTGCGGAAGAGAGGGGTGTTCACTTTTCGGCTCGCTTCGGCATCACTGCAATACTCCACGTTCCTATGCTTCAATTGGTAGGTGATTGTTTTACCATACGATGAATTTCCCACCTAAAAAAGCAAGGTTTATATCAGTTTTCTGTATACAAACATATCGTTCTCCTACCTATGATCCCAGAATGAAACAAAAACTTACCAATTTCCTGGTATCCGCAATGATGGCTTTGTTCGGGTCTACATCGCCTGCTCGTCTCGCGTCAGACACAGCATCTCCAAAGGATTTGAAGCAGGGCTCAGGGGTGAACTCGATCACTTGGTGCACTTTCGTGACCTCTAAACCATGTTCCAAGTACCATTTCAGAAGAGGTGCAGCCAGCAGAATCTTATCTCCTTTCATGCTCCCGATCAAGCTGCGACGGGGCTGAGCTATGATGCCGTGCTCCTCAGCGTACGCTTTCATGAACTCTCCAATATCCTCTCGACTGATGTTGGTGTTTTTAAAGATCGGGCACATCTCGCTGAACTTCTCTTTCAAATGCTCTGGTACGCGAATATCCACTTCCACGCACCCAAACAAACGCTCATTTCGCACCTCGCTCAAAATTCGCTCCGCACTCATGATCTTTACTTTGTCGAGGGTTCTTCTCACTTCTGTATCGATAAACCGCTGCAGTTCTCGGTTGGTTCTCTTCATCCGGCGCCATTCACATTCCCACATCTCCACGACACGGTAGCCTTTGCTTCGAATATACTAGGTGTTGGCTCTAGTTTCTTCCAGCAGTTCCGTCATAGGTTTGTTTCGTTTCTCGTTAACTTCTTTTCCGCGGTTGAGAGCGCAGTCATGGCCGTGCCAATAACACCCCTGAAACTGGTACACAGTTTGCG